AGCTCCCTGTCCCAATACACAATTTAGATATATTCCTGGCAATGTAACATTTAAGGTGAGTGAAACTGACTGAAGCAGTTCAGGTATTTTGACAGCTGTGGGCAATACTGGTGACTGAGTTTAAGGAGCACAATAACCACAATTACATTATTGCCCCTACCAATTTCCAGGCACTTACAAACTTCCCCTTCCCTTCTTTATGGAGTTGTATATCTAACACACATAAGCCACTAAAACCTCAATTTATCCCTCCCAGTGTAGGCACCTACCTAAAAGGCCCAGTTTGAGAGAGCAGGCGTGTGCACGTGCTGTGTGTCTGTCTCACACACGCTCCTACCTCAGCAGAAAGCAATTCAGGTCTTAAATGGAGTAAGCTGTACTGCAGAGGTGCCTCATTTGCGCCATTCTCTCCGAACTAACTCCAGCTGCTCGCTTGTACCTAAGTGAAGTATTTAACTGAGGAGCCTAAAACTAACGGAGCAAATCTAGGCCTAGTCAGAATGTCAAGAATTTTCATCCGTTCGTGTCAGCTATTAATCCTCCCCAACCTTCAGTCTGTAAAAGGGGCATCAGCTCTGCAAAACAGAAACTACACTTAGGGTTAGGAAACACCTACTACATCATGGTTGTTATAAACTAGCTCTTGTCTTTATCTCATATGTCCCTATTTACAACAGTGATAACCAAAAGAGCAAAACCTTGCACTACACCTGCAGATAATATATATTCAATATTTTATTCAATATCATATTTCAAATTACATTAAGACTGTGTAGATTTAGACTCTGCAAACAGCCTCAGACTATTTCACTCCTCCTTTAACATGGGATATAAAAAACAAAATCAGGTTGATTCTTTATTATGAGGCTATTCTGTAACAGCCATCACTAAATACAATTCTTCACATACACCTTCTCTCTCCCCCTCGAAAGTATTTCCCGTTGCAGACTGACTGTGGTCATAAACTGCTCATGGTTGATGTCAGGTAACAAAATTTGCCATCCTACAGCTTGAAAGAACAGAGAATTCTTCATTCCAGTAACATTCAATCAATCAACCAATATATTCATGTCAAAGACTTGTTAGGCAAAGCTGGTCTTTAACTTCTAAGAAAGGAGATGGAATATCTTAAAATCCTTCCATATATAACTGATCTGGTGAGGATGCAGAATATCTGCTTCCCCTTCTTTGAAGGCGGCAACATTCAGGGGAGGAAAAAAAGAAAGAAAAAAAAAAAAAGAAGAGACATTTGAACACAATTTCCCCAAGGCAAACTGATCTGTTTGGTCTCCTCTATAACGCCAGCTTTCTTGGTAGACCTTTGTTCTTGTGGGCATAAAAACCATGTGCCATAGATGCAAGCTCACCCTGCACCTGGGGAGTTGGCAGTTATGGGGAGGCTGGAGGAGTCAGTTTTCTATGCTTTTTAATTTCCTTACTCGTTTTTTCCAAAGATTTTTGCTTTTTCACTTCCTGGTGCTTGTTCCACAATTCTACCCAAGATGCATTGAAAGCAGGAGAGAAAGAGAAAGAGTCAGCGGCTGGTCAGACAGGTGAAAATGGGGAAAAAAAAATTTGAAACAAAACCCCCACCCCTTCATCTCAAAAAAAAAAGAAAAAAAAAAAAAAAAAAAAGAAGAGCAGAAATTTACTGATTAACACCATTTTAGAAGAAATCAATGTTAGGAATCGAACACTGCATCATCTCTCATTTACAGAATTCAAATGTTAGAGATGACTTCATACAGTGAACCAACTAAGGAAAAACAGCTATTATGAACACATATAATACAATTAATCACCTTTCCTGAGAAAGGCCTTTAAGATAGTCAGGTATTTATTCTTCCAAAAGGTAGGCATCACAGGAGCTCTAATTAACAGAAACATTTTAATGTCTCTAGTTTATATCATTGAAAGGAAAAGGCACAAAAACAGCAGCAGCAATTCCAAGAAAATTAGAATTGTAGGTTAACACAATACCTAACCAATATTATATCTTTAAAATTATCACAATGTTTACAAGTATAACAAGTTATTTTTGACCTGACAGCATTCTCAGTAAATGCTTGGCTCTGCCTATCAACCGGTCCTACATGCAAAAAGCTGAACTTCTCTGCATCCACTTGTTCCTCTCTGGGTATAAAGAATGGAAAAATAGAAGAAGAAAAATGAGCAAGATATCAGTCATGCTTAATGCCAACTTCCTAAATTCAAATAAGGTCACAGCACTCCAAGTCAAGGAATTCCATAAGAGAACACAATGCAAAGAAAAGGAAAAAAGTCTGAAGTCTTGCACACACTCTTTTCATTTGAAGCTTAGTTCTGAGACAAAATAGCGATCAGGCACTTGCACTTTTCTACCACTCACATTCCTCAACCCTCTGAAATGCAGTCATCTTTTCTGCTCAGAAACATCGGATCATTCCAGGTGCTGGCATGACGGCCAAAGGAAACATTTCAAGCTGACACGCTGAACTGAATCGGAATGCTGGACACTGTCCTCTCTCACTGGCACAGCTAAAGCTAGGAACGCTACAGAGGAAGATACTCTTAGAAAAGCAGCAAAGGCAAAGGGGAGGAAAAAGAAGTACAATGTTCTACTGCTCTTCAAGGAAACTTGCTGAGCAACTAAAAGGCCATGAAGTGTGTCAGAAACACATCCCACCCTCAAAATGGCAGAAATTAGGACAAGACAGGCTCTAAAAAAGTTCTATTTAGCAAAATTTCTACTGAAAAAAAATAAAACAAAGGATAGTGTTACGATTGTGGAGGAAGGCTCCAAAGAATTACCATTAAACATATCAGGAGCGAGGCGAATGTAGCAAGGGAGAAAAAGCTAGAAAAGACAGCTGCTAGCAAACTGATTTCTAGATCTGCTTCATGATTGATGGATGTTCCTTCAACTTTCATAAGTACACAGAAGGAGAGGATAAAACTGCTTATGGATCCAAACAGCATCCTATAGGCTTATCTGAGCACACCCTGACACAGGTAACAATCTCTTTAAGATGTACTGAATTTGTTTAAGGGCTTTGAAAACATCTGGTCTCAAGTGCTCAGTCTATATGGCTTTACTTTAAAAACCACCAGGCTGAAAGCTACAATACTTGTCGTTAAATTACTTTTAGCTGACTTGTCTGTTAATTCAGAATAGAGTATATCCTAGCACATTAAAACCAGCCTGGATATTACTCTCAACTACTTCGTCAAAGAAAAGGAAAACCTTAAAGAAACTCAAGGGTCATAAAATACTATGCCTAGGACTTTGTTACATGAGCCAGAACTAAATGGGACAGCAGGTCCAAGAAGGATCTGATGCAGACAAAGTAGGTAGCACAACTCTCTTCTGCTTCAAAAGAACTGTCAAAATAAAGTGATCTGCCAGCATTAAACAATTACTTAAAAAGTAGTAATGGAACCTTCAGTAAGTACTGACATTTTCATTAGGAGTTACTGCAAGTATACAATAAAACCAAACTAACCACTAACGTAAAGCAGAAAACTATTAATTGTCAATACCAAATGTCCTACAAAAAGGCCAGTCCTACATGTGATGACCATGGACCCTGGAAGACAAAAACCCCAGAAGTAAGCAAATAATTGGTGATCTTTTAGGAAACAAAGTATCAGAAGCATCATCTTCACAGTGAATTTCCTAGCTAAGCAATTAGGTATTAAAACACAGCAAAGATCAATCCTCAACAGCCAAAAATTGATCAGCTCTTCACCTCAGAAATAAGAATTTTGAATACCAACAGTTTTCAAGTATGTAGGATGCTCCCTTTGTAAGGAGCAAGGTACAGAGGTACACAAGAAACCATAATCTTTCTGAAGAGTGAACAAGAAAAGGGGGTCAAGCACTAAGACATCCACCCTGAAGTCTGGAAAACTCTGCAAACCTTCTGGATGTTCTTCCTGTAGTACAAGAAAACTGCACACATTCAGCTACCATACCTCTAGATCTCAGAGATGCATTTTAATTGCCACACTAACATTCACTTCATTTATGGTATTGCAAACAGTGCCATACATGATTTTACTCCATCATGCTGATGACTTTTCATTCCAGTATTTTCTCTTGTAACTAGATCAAAAGCACCTTCCAAACTTTGCAGAATCAAGGAATTGCTGATGTTCAATGGAACCTCTGGAGATCACCTAGTCAAATCTCCCTGCTCAAAGCAGGGTCAACTAGAGCAGCCTGCTCCAGTCAGGCATCCCCTATCTCCACAGATGGAGAATCCACAACCTTTCCAAGCAACCTGTTCCAGTGTTGAGTCATCTTCACATAAAAACTTTTTTTTCTCATGTTTAAATGGAATTACTTACAAATACTTTGTTATTTCAGCAACACGTAAATGTTTACCAAATGCTTCTTCCCCAAAGAAGTTAAGTTTGAATGAGAAAGTCTGCATTTCACTACAGAAGGAATTTCAGCCTAGCCATGACTAACTCTGGCCCTGTATAGCCAAAGTATTGTCTTTATTGAAGCTTCCATAACAGAACATAAAGGAAGTATAACAGCCAAACAGCTTTAAATCACCTTCCTGCAACACAAGAGAAATTCCTTTTACTTCTAGATCTCAACAGTCTGACGAACATGGACACTACATTGGTTTTACAGCAATTTCTTATTAAAGATTGACTTGCATACTAGTTTATGGTTCTTGGTGACAGACAAAACCAGTCAGTAAAAAAAGGCTTCAGAAAAAAAAAAAAACATTAAAGTCTTTCAAACTTTGATCAGTTTTGGTGAAACCATATCTGTCTTGTAACTTAGTTCTGTAGAAGACAAGTAGAAATCATTAGAGCATCAGAACCATCAATAACAATTTACCTGTTGCCTGTCTTGACCATTGTGTATTGTTTAAGGCTAATATTCTGGAAACAAGTAGTTAACATAACATATTAAGTAGCACTTCTTTTGAAAAGCACTTCTTATGATGCTTCACAAACATGGGCTGTCTGATCTCAATGATTTCCATTTCTATGAGCCTTTAATTTTATCTGAGGGAAAGGAGCAGTCTCAGCGGATCCTCAGATCAAAAGATCTCTCTTCATTCTTTAATAGAATGCTGGCCTAGTGTCTGTTTTATTCTAAGTTGTGTCAGAAACATACTTCCCTTTTTCTCTTTTCTACAGAAAAGAAATTAAGAACACAGAGCAAACCAAACCACTAAACTGAAATGCTGGAGAACTGAATCTCCTCTAGCTCCCCGACAGATTTTCAACTAGAGTGCAAGACTAGTTTCTGAGCAACTGCTTCCATAGATTACCTCTTGAAACAAGAAAGCAAATCAAGGCAGAGGGGTTCAGCATCAGTTCAGAAGGACTCAACACCGCTCAGCCTGCAGCTATGATATGGGCATCAGAATGAACGTCTGCACTCCTGCCACACAACTGCCCACTACACACATTCCCTTGCCTTCTGCCACATACTGCAGGTACAGCCTCACAGTCGCACGCTGCTTTCAGAATATTAATCTTTCATACAATGATTCCATTAAAAAGTTGTTTTGAACAGGCTATAAGAAGCGATGGCTAGAATTTAACATGACATATTTTTGGAGTTGACAAACAATTTCTCTCATATGCTGATGATACTTTTCTCTTGTTTACAATCCACAGCACATTAGAGCCAACCAAAATATTTTTCTTTTTTTCTCCACCTCCCTCCCCCCGGTGAAACAGTTTAAAGCCTACCTGTAACTTTTTCGCAGACTTAGGGAAAAGCTATACCAGCTAAGAAATTAGATTGGAAAATTTCCAGTGACCAGCCTAGCAGACGCTGTTTAGAAGGGCACGCATTCTATTTGCTATTGTATAGAAGGAAGATCCATCAGTCCTATTCACTGAAACAGTAACACTACAACTAAAATCTTTTTGGCAGTTTTTATTATTAACAATCAGTAGATCCTGTGTCCCACTTCTATCAGGATGCAACCTAGATAATCCACAAGTAGTCAGCAATGATCAGAAAACTTTTGTTTCATGCAGTCCCTTCCACAGTTGCCCTTTCTGAAGTCCTACTGGCCCTGTTTCCCTTTTGCCATTTCCTGTTCCTTGAAGACATCAGTCACAGAGCAAAAAATAAAGTGTAATGAAATTCAGAAACAATTAAGCTTAGAAAGCTTCTGGGAGAAAACTACCCTGGATAGTTTATCCAAGAGTAGAGTGAAAACACATATGATTGTTCCTTGTGATCCAAAGTGTAAATGAAGCATGTTACAGCAGCAATGCAGTGTGTCAAAATGGAGAGAATGCAAATAGAATCTAATGCCAAAATAGAAGTCCCTCCTGCACTTCACATGCACCTCAATACACACCAATGGAAGCAATAAAATTTTCTTCCTTTAGACTCCTTGTGTCAAACTCCCTCGGCCCTTTGCCCGCAGGGCTCGGTGCCTTTGGCATCAGCTGAGGTACCGGCAGCTGCATCGCAGGTTTTGGCTCCACTCTTGGGGATGATGCAGGATCCTTGCCAACTGGAGTGATAGATCCATCTGTTGGACTTCGTTTTCTCTTTTCTGGTTCTTTAAAGGAAAAAAAACCAACAAAGTGTTCGGGGAAAAAAAACAACAACAAAAAAAACACAAGGAAAAAGGAAATGAGAGCAGAAAGAGGAAGATGAGACAGATGGTCTCACCTAAATCATTAAGCCTGGCACTGAAAACAGCTCAGTCCCAAATTTGTTCCAATAGGTCACCATGGCTTGCAGACAGTCTGACACAGTGGTGGAGACAGTAGAGGAGAAAGCCGGAGTGCTGGTTTGGGGATACTCAAATTACCTCCTTCCCGTATATTTGAAACCTAGAATTTTCTTTGACACAGTAACTGTAACTCCTCTGCTGAGCTGTGCAAAATTAAATAACTCTGCCTAAACTACCAAGATATCACTTCTAGAATATAAGCAAGCTCCTATTGCAGTGAAAAGATGACAAATACAATCTTCTTTGATGGGTTAACACTATATGAGACTTCAGTTAAGAAAAAAACACAAAAATCTATCAGCTATAGCTCTTCCATCATCCTCTGAGACTTCCTATAATCATATGTCCCCATAGGCAGTTTGGATTATTTCTCTGTATCGAACTCCACAGTTTGAATTCAGCAAAACTTTTGGAATAGAATAATTAAAACTAGGTTTTCTGTAAAGAACCTCCTGCACAAACTGTTCCAATAGCTGATGAGGCTAAGAGTAAAAATTTCATATCCTAATATCTAAATTTGTCGTACCACTAGACCTGACACCTTCGTTCAGTAGATTAAAGATTCTGCTATGAGCAACACCTTTCCATTTAGATAATAATTGAAAAGAATCAACAGCTAACATTCAACAGATTGAACACCTCTGTCTTTCAGAGCAGAAGTGTTTTCCCAATTCCTTGTAGGTCTTTTCAGAAACCTCCTAAATTTTTCAAGATGCAATGATCAGAACTGGAAGCACTGCCTCAGCTGTGGGTCTGGTTAGTGACACATCCAGAGACAATACAATGGGTGCATCCCAAATCTATATTCCTAGGTTTACACAGTGCCTCTTTCTCCAGTTTTTACGGACACAGTAAACAGTGGGAAGTTCACACATAGCTGCCGTTTTCAGAGACACTGCTTCCTAGAACACAGTTCCCAATCCTGCTATTATTGCCCAATGTCCTTGCTCCTAAACACCAGTTCTTAGTTTGGCCATATTAAAATAATCACAACCAAGATTCATCTTCCTCTAGACAAATAACCTATATGCTAAATACTACATATGCTAAAATAAATAGCATAAATACTACTATATGCTAAATAACATTAAGACAAGCACTAATCTCTCTAAAACATTTCTAGAAATATCTAGATCAACTCATTGAAAACAGGTAAAACATACTAAACAGCTGAAGTTTCACTATAAATCAAGATGTCATGCAATAATGAGTGACATCCTTCAAAGACGTATCAAGGTTTTAAAAGTTTATATCAAATTTTGTCTATTGTGACCACGATTAATTTACTAGGTAAACTCTACTTACTGTCAAACTATGGTATCTGGCATTGCATCAGGAAGACTTCACTGGAAAACCATTGAGTTTTACATCAGCCACACTAGAACTTTGCTTAGGATCAATGTCAGACTAAAAGGCTTATAATTACCAAGATCAGCCTATTCCCCACATTCAGGACTGTTACACTAGCACAGCCTCCCTTACCTTCTTCAGCATCCTAACAACAATTGGAAATTAACACCTGTAACCCACAGTGCAGCTAAGCCAACTCATAAAATCCCCGATGCAAGTCACTCAGAACACCAACTAGAAAGTGTTAGTAGACGTTACTCTTCTGCTGCAATGAAATAAATAGCTTTTCATCATATGAGGTTACAGCTGAGTCAGATATTAGGCAGAGAGCTAGCTTTTTGCCATCTTTTGCTCTTTTTCCTTATGCATACATTTATTTCGCATTAAGAATCAGATTTTAAGAAAGTTGAAAAATAAAAAAGTATTTTCAGACTTTCTTCTCCAAGAGTACTTAGTGATATAAGAATCATTGTGTAATGCAAGGTGGTTGGTGAGATACAAATCTCATATGGTTCCCCATCACAAATATCTCTCTCCGTATTCAGGTTGTCTGCAATAACTTTCTAAGACTGTGGCTGGGACAGCGTTAGCTGAAGGTCCCCACTCTCAGAATTTCCACTTCATCTGTAAAAGTCCCAGGTTTTGTATCTTGCCACATAGTTTCCATTTTAGATCAAGTATCAGTATGGCCATTATTTTGCTGTGGTTTGGTTACGTGTGTGCAAGAGAATGGTTTCAAGCTTTGTAAGGTTTCAGTAACAATGGTACAGTTCTCACCTATTTTGAAAGTGTCGTAAACCCCCTGAAATACCAGAAGCCACAAAACAGCGACCTTTACAATAAGGATCTTGTTTGGTTCATAAACACTGTATTCTCATTAACGCTTTTCTTACCTTTGTTGTAATAGTGAGTATGTGCTATCTCTAGCAGGCCAAAAACACTGGCCATGCCTCCCAGGCCAGCATTTGCATATGACTGCTCCAGGCTCAACACAGTGCACTTCAGCAAGTCCAGCATGCCTTTATAAACCTTGCGGCTGATCTCCTGCAACGAAAATCCTGTTGGTGTCGCTATTTCAGAAGTGATAAAGTAATTCAAGAACATAAATTCCAAAAGTGCTGTAACATCAGCTTTCAGGAGGCAATTTAACAAGAATTTCTATGAATTGAGGCTCAGCAGACACTAGGTGTAAGGACCCTGCCGAGTTCAGCACTGACCACATCCTGTATGACGTCCTGTCGAACATCTTCTTCTGACTGGATCGCACGATTCAGCTTGCTTAGTACAAAGACACGGAGCTGCTCACTCTCCAGCAGACGTCGGACTCTCTTCATGTTCAGCCAGCCAACACCTTGCCCGTCTAGAACATTGTGCACCACCTCCTTCAGGAACTGCTGGTTCTCACTGATGGGTTTAAGAGAAAGCAGGCAAAAGTTAGCCCTTTGCTTACCTTGGCTTGCATGGGAAGAGAGATACGACCAGGACACACACAGAAATGCATTTCCCATCAAAGCTAAGTTTACAAGAAAAGAAGTTCTAATCTAGCTACACCTGCTCCTAACGTAACTGCATACAGCCCAAGCTCTGTTCTATAGGTGTAGTATCAAATATTTTTTGTCCATTATTTCCTGTAATAAGATTTTCCTTTAGTCCCTCTAGCTACCACTCCTCACCTTCACAGCACTCCTCAGAATCCATAGGAATCCTCTATGCCACCACCTTCTCCCACAGCCGCCTTGTCTGACCCTGCAGGCTTTCCTTGAAAGAGGAAGCACAGCACTACTAATAGCACTACTGCAGCAGCCTTGGCACGTGTACTGCTGCAGCTTTTTTTGCCACAGGGGAGGGAACGGTAAGAAGAAGGGAACTTCTGTGCAACCTGCTGCATTCCCCAATCTGAACTGCAGTCACTGTTCTTGCTTGCCTCCCAACCCAAGCAGCTCAAAGTAAAGCTCACTCTACCCACAACTGCTACGTAAGAAAGGGAGGAGAAAGCAGAAGCATGGGTCAGGTGATGTTTACTTGCACCATTCTGAGCCCCTTCCCAAGGCTGAGAAAAGCATTTCACATGAATTCATGGAATCAAACTGCTTCACATGACTCAGCTGATCCCCTGCACAGTGCATTAAAACTCTACTGGCTAAGCTACTTTGTTCAGAACAGACTCAGTTACAAAGAATAAATACTGAATTAAAGTAGGGACCTAGAATTTTTTGGACCTCAGACAGAAAGAGGATACATTTCAGAGCACAGAAAAACATGTATATGTGCTATTAACTGTAAGACCATCTATACAGAATCTTCTCAGACAATAGTACATGCAAGCTTAGGGCCACAGAAAAGTAGTATTTGGTTTTCAACAGCTAGACTTCTGAGGAAACACTGGCCAAGTATGACACAACTCTACCAACACTTCATCCTCAAAAAGCAATGAAAAAATGTTACCTGGAATTACTAGTTCGTCCCTGAGGCGATGGAGATTCTCTCTTCACTGTTGGGCTGTGCTTAATGACTGAAGACTTTTGATCCACAAGGGCTCTTCTGTTTCCTAAACAGGAGAGGGAACAGGATGAGAGGAAGGGGTGGGAGGAAGCCAGTCTGATCCCAGGACAGTAACAAGCAACGCTAAGGTTGGCTAACACACCTATTCGGATTACAGGTAACAGACTTCAAACAAAATGGAAACTCCAAGAAAGCAGCAGCATGTATCGTATTCTAGCATCACACATCGGCAGAAAACAGTAATGGGAGTAATGCAGAGAGAAAAAGAGAAGATGGTAATGGGAGCAGGAGGTGAAAGGCAGGAAAAGTTTGGCTGCTCTGCATGCAGTTCCACAACATGAACCATCTTCAAATTAGTCACTATATGTAAAAGCATAATGCATTGGGGGTGACTAGTATAGATCATGTGGTACTGGTTACCCAGTGAGAAAGGTAGCCCAAAGTCAGGCATAGGGAATGCTGGAAATTATTATATCATGCACAGCTCATGCTGTAGGGAACCCACCTTCATTGCTTACTGGGCCAGCTTCAGTAATAATCTCCATTATAGTATTTAACCCAAATACTGGGACACAAAATACACAATTAGTAGTGTACTACAATATCTACACTCCCCACCACCAGCATCAAAAGAGTCCAACTACCAGCTTCTTCCCAGCCCTCCCTCAAAACAAAACCCAAATGATGCTAGAGCAGGAAGGATGCTTGAAAGCCCAAGACAACAAGGGCCAGCGTAACTAATCTTAGAGATAGTGCTTGACTTGAAATTTGGCATCGTGGAACCAATGTATTGCATCTTCAAGGACATTATTGCACATATTGTATTTCAAGGGCACTATCAAAACCATCTGCATCACTGAGGAAAAAATACCAATGGATGTGCATGAAATAAAAATTAAAAAGGAAGATGGAAAGTGGTCAAACAGCAGCAATGAGATGGAGTCCCAGCATCATTTCCCATTACAGTTAGAAACACAGGGTACCACAAACAGTTGGTAAGAACAAATTAATGCAGCAATTTTATACCTGTACAACAGAGACAAAAACATTTAAAAACCAGTGAAGTGCCCAGCGGGAATCCCAGTGAGGCAGCATGCACACATAAATGAACACAAACACACACACACAAACACACATTTGCACATGCATAAAACAGACTGAGCTACTCCATGGAAATCCCATCCTCATATCTGCATAGTAACATTAAAGGCCCTACAGGATTACAATAGTCAAGAAAAGAACACCAAAGTGCAGAAGATGAGGCACAAAGCATGAACGTGGAATAGCAAACCCCATCACTGTTTTCTTCCAATGCATGGAATCAGCCATTAAGTTTACCCATGGAAATAACCCTGACATGAAGAACGTTTCTTATCCAGTATAATTGGACATCAAAACGTAACCAACTGGTAAAAGGTTGTCAAAAACAGCTGTGCAGAGTCTCTGCTAGTGTTTTCACCATACCAGTCCTGTTCCTCCTCATTTTACACACAGGGAATGATTACTTGTCTCAAAAACAAAGTCCAAAGCAGAAACACAAAAACCAGCTTTTGGCCTTTGTTTCTACAAGGTCAAAGGTCAGCAAAACATCATACCAACCTTCATCCACATCCCTTCCCACTTCCAGATTAAAGTAATCTTTACCGATGAAAATGATGAGGAGGAAAAAATAAATGAAAAAAATCAACATATTAAAACAAAAGCAGTAAGATCTGATTAGATAGAATACTCAAAAGGTAAAACAAAACCTTTCCCTAGCTTAGCAACTGAAAAGGTCTCAATGCTGAAACACCAGCATGTGCTCAGTCACCCTTCTGTTATTACATCTGGTACAAGGACGACCAGGCTGTCTTAACTCCCCACAGTAAGAGGGTCATTTCTTGTTTAGACATGTTATCTAATGATACTGCAGACAAACAGGAGATGTTCCAATGAAAAAACTGTGCACATAAGTTAGGGAGCAATCTTCACTCTGAATGAGCTGAGGTATGGTCACAATTTGATTTTGAACAGAAATTTTCTGTTTAGTGAACCAAAAAGACTATAAACAACTTTGAAATGCACATAAACTGCAGTGTCCATGGGAGGCTGGCATTATCGCCACTTGCAAATGCAGCATCATTGCTCTAAGAAGTTACCTAAAGCTAATCATGAAGATAGTGCAGTACAAAAGTAGGACCAACCCATTCTTTACACTAAGTACTTAAAAATAAAACAAAACAAAATACAAAACAAAACCAACATTCACAGTGTATCTATTAACACAGGCTAGACTAGCCAGTCTCCCATCCCAACGCAGCCCAATTGTTGGGAAGAAGTCTGACATCAACATCAAGACAATTTACTGTCTTGATACTTAAGACAGGTACTACCCAAACTACCAAAATGCATCACCCCCGAAATTCCTGTTAAGGGTAAGACTGCCAAGTCATAAGAACCGTAAAGGCTGTAGAAGACAAAGGGAAAAATGGTTACCTTTCAGGCTGGGAAACGGAGTGTTCTTGTCTCTCCCAACTTTGGTTGGTAGGGCTAAGTTGGACAGACTGAAACTTGTGCTGTGGTTTCTGTACAGGCTGCCTATGACAGAAGAAGAAAACAACTGAATGACTAATGCTCACTGCACACACCTGAACTTCCTAAACTTCCTGTACTTCACCTTATTCCAAATCCTTAATAACAAAAGTTGGTCTTTATTACCCAGAAGTCTCACAAACATAATATCATCTCATTTACATTGCAACCACATCTGTAATCAGATTACTTTAAGTTGCACAAAAATGTAATTCTTAGCTTTCATGTTACAATCATTGCTATTGTAGCTTTGAGTCTAAAATGTAACAGTGATATCCACCTGTCTTCCTGCACTGTCTTCTAGTTTGATCCTCTTTTTAGGAGCAAATGAACGGTAGGGGCCACATGAGAAAACAGGATGATGGAAGACCTCCAAAACATGTAATTCTGAAGTGACAGTTGTGCACTGTGCCTTGTGAAACACTGTAAATCTGCCACAGAAGCGTGCTTCAAAACAGAAGCTTTCCATTTATTAGGAGAAAACAAAAGTTCTTCCTAGTACGGACAGATCTTAAGAACACAATAATGCATTGTCATCTGCTTAAGCCTTTAGACAGCCCAAAAGCATCTCATGTAGATCAACACTTCAAGATGTTAATTTAAAATGTCAGCATACTATTTCAGTTTGCTTTGGTACTTTTTTGCAGCTTTATTTATAGCAACAATCATTTTACCAGAAAGACCCAATATACTTTCCCCACTGATGCACACTTCTTGCACAGCTCCCCATTTTAGTGCAAGATTCAACTGGCCTTATCTTCTTTCACTCATTAAAAATCTCTATACTAGTTTTCCCACACCTGTGGATTTTATTATTAAAATACAATTGAAAGTAGGTGAGCACAGTCAAGAAATTGAATTTAGCACCTAAACACACAACATGGTAGCATGGAAGGCATACTACCAGTAAGATTTTTGTATCAACTAAATGAAATTGCACAATTCTTTACTTAAATGAAACTGAAAGGATTTCTGATCTGTGTTCTAAAGTGCCACATAGCTCAAGGACCTAAATACATAACCAAAGTCCTTCTTACTGAAAAATACCTATGGCAGTAGTTATCAGCAGTGTAAGTTAAATAGGTCCTGTTGCTTCCAACGTGACTTCCGGAGAGCTGGTAACAATTTGCCAACCAAGTCATTCTCTTGACTAGCCATCCCTCTACTCCATCTCTCTGTAAACTCTAATATAATAAATAAAACCAGCTTAATGAATGCATTAGTACATACTTGCAAAAGACATGATGCCCCCAAAACCTTCGCTGCTGTTGTTGGAGACAGTAGAGTTTGGGGAGCTGGCCCTGGAATCTGAATCTGCATCAGAATCGTTGGCCAGTTTTAAACTGTTTGGACGGAGTAGCTTCTGAGACCTTTAAAGAAATTAGGTACAACTGTTATTAGCTTTCCTCCTTCTTTCCCCAAATTAACACGTTGTATGACTGTGAGAGATTGATGCTGGTCTCATTCTTCGTCAGTTTTCACCACACTACTCTTACCTTGTGGGAAAGAAAAAAAAAAAAGAAAGAAAAAGAAAAAATGAGAGAATTGAAGCATCTTTGTATTCGGGCATTTATTACCTTTCAGGGCATGCTGAAAACTTGTCCGCAAAAGTGCATTGGTGGATTTGGGGGTGAAAGGGTTCTGCTTTGAGAGCAATAACAAGAAAACCCAGGGTCAATCAACCACTATAGTATCTTTCCCCCAAAAGACACACACAAAAAAAAAAAAAAAAAAAAAAAATCACTTAAAGCTTTCCAGAAATCAGTAGGTAGCATACTAGAATGTTTCCAGGAAGAACTGATAATTCTGTTAGCTACTACTGCTTACATAAAAGCAAGGAACTGAGGGAACTGAGCAAATGCCTTTACTCAAACCAGAAGGGTTTACAGAATTTCAACGGGAGTGATCAACAATACATTTCGGGTGCAAAAGACATTTAAACAAATGAATGTTAAACTACATTAAGCAGATGGAAACCCCAACAGTGCTGTACAGAAGGGCAGGAGACAAGGAGGACTCACCTGCTTCCATTGAGATTCTGGTTAAATCTTGGGGTGTAGCTCTCTTCCTGCTCATCATCTTCATCCTCCGTAGGAAAACCATACTGTGGTTCGAAGTACGGATTGTCATACTCTCGCTTCCTCACCACCCCTTCCGAAGAGCTCATGCTGCCAGCTGCGCTGTCGCTCTCACGACGATCCAAGCTTATTTTGGGAAAGCTTGGTTGCAGTGGCAGGGAAGTGAGATGGTTTGAAAATCCAGCAACCAACTTCTCTTCCATTTCTGCTGACTCTGCTGCCTCCTGTGGACCAGTCAAATCATTGATCTGTTCGCTAATTTGCGTTACATACAACTGAAGGGCAGGACAAGAGCAATTATTTCAAACTGGGAAGTCTGAAGGGTCCTTGCTGTTTGTTGCTGGGCCCCAACCCCATTCCCACTATCCATGGCTCTAATCTAGGACTTTATACACGCTGCAGTATTTGTGCATATTTCTAGGGACTTACTCCCCTGTAAAACAGATCTGATAAGTGTTAGCTCAGGGTAACAGCTCTCCCTTACCCTGTTCTGTGGTTATGCAAGCAACTCCCATTCTTCCTAAATGACCACAGATTCATGTGTTTCCCCACCCCACTCCCTGTTCCTCTAATGCATCAGGTCTTTCCAGACTCTGTAAAAGCAATTCCTGCAGTCACAACCTGGGTCACTGTTCTCTGTTAATGCTGCATTTTTTAATGGGTGGGAGCTTTTATGTACAGGAATGCTCTATCCCAGCATAAGAGAGTACCAGTAAACTCCACCTTCCTCAGAAAATCCAGAAAGAGCATGCAATTTAATCTGTGTGTGGTTTCACAGTCCTATTAGCTTTTGCCCTTCTCAGAAAGAACCACCTGCATTCTCCCATTCTTTATATCCTAATACGCTGATCTTGGGGCTGAACTCATCTCAGTACACACATGATTCACTCCATGGATGACAGTGCTGGGGCTGCTACTGGCTGTAGTACTGGAACTTGAACGAGGCTGGTTGTTCTCTTGGGAGTTTTCACTGTCCATGGCCTGTTCATCCAGATCCCCTGAATATTCTTGAAAATCATCAAATTCCACTTCACTAGCATCACCAAGGGCTGCGTGAGTCAGGGGGTCAACATCTGCAACACATCATTTTGCATTAAAGAACACTGCCTTCCTCAGCCTTTTGCCCATCTAACTAAAGATCCCTAGCAGATGAAGACTGCTCAGTGGAATAAACTTGCGTAAAAATTTAGGTTGTAAAGGGCTTTTGAAGGTCATCTATTCCAACTCTCGGCTCAAATCAGGGGTAACTTCAAAGTTAAAGCAAGTTGCTCAGGGCCTTGTCCCACTGAGTTTTGGAAGTCTCCAAGGCTTGACATTCTACTGTGATCTGGGGAACCTGTGTAATTACACTAACCATTAAGATCTTCCTCCTTATGCCCAGGCAGAATTTCTTTTGTTGCAACGTATGATTATTATTACCTCTTGTCCTTCAGACATAGGAAATGTGTTGGCATTCCTAGATTTAGATCATTGAAGAAAGTGAGCTTCCCACTTTCACAAGAGAAGCTATTGCTGCAGCCTCTACATAAGCCACAGAGAATGCATTTTCCTGTCCTCACTAGGACAGAGTGACTCATTAAAGCCAGCACTGAGAACCAATACACGGGGGCAGGAGAAAGCTAGTAATCTGCTGCCCTTGTTGCACAGGATCTACTGGCAGCAGCAGGTTGTTTCCAGATCTCGTGAGCTGGTTTTGTTCAGCAGCACCTATTTCTGTTCTTCCTCCTCTCAGTGTCCTCTGGAGGGCATTGTTTATAAGCAGAAGAAACGTCTTTTTTCAGCCTACCCCTGGATATTGAAGGAGTTCAGAAGACAGTTCTACCTGAGAGCAAGACTACAATGGAACAATATTTTGCTCTGATTCAGGGACTTAGAGGAGGCATTTTTCCCCACAGTGCAGATGACTGGGGAAGAGGAACCTATGTGGACCTTGTGAAAGTACAGCTCAAAGTTACTCACTTGGGGTATCGCCATTAATATCACATTTCATCATCTCACTGACAAAGTCACCGAGGGAGGAATAGGAGGAACTTGAGTCATCATAGTCGACGCTGTCACTGCCACTGCCACAACAGGTGAGAAAGAGAGATGAGTGGCAGCATAACAGCAACAGCAGGGCCTGATATTTCAAAGATGTGAATCGGCGCTGTTTTCATGGGCTTCTTAAAAATCTCCCGATATTACAGTCTCTACAAACAAACTTCTGGCAAGAGTCAGAAGCCAACTTCATGAAAGGTCAGAGCAAATGAAATAACTTTGGGGTACATCAAGAGACACATGGGAAGACATTTAAAACCTCTCAAGCAAAGTTAATGAGGTCAAACATAAGTGAGCAGGGAGTAGGGTATTAATTCTCTCTGTGTGTGTGTGTGTAGGACGATTTCAAGGGAACTGGAAATCACAAGTAAAAACATTCCCTTTTTATACTAATGATAAATCCCATTTTGTCAGGACGACTGGTGCTGTGTAGAACATAAAAGATGTGCAAGTCCAAGCCTGAAAGATGTCACAGGCTAGCAGAGAATGAAGGATAATAAAACTAGATGCAAAACTCTGGAAAATATGGCCAAAACTACTATAACAAAAAACTTTACTCTCATTTTACTGAACACACAAGGACGTATCAGGCAGTGGGTAGTACAAACAAGCCTCGTGTAACTATGGGCACTGAGTAGAGATTTGAAAGAGTGGTAGGATGGGTGGGTGTACTTGCAGTACTGCAACAGAAATAACCAGAGAAAACAGCATGGAAGAAAAAAGCATTAGGGTGGGAGGAAATACCACATGTCAGGTGGCATACAGGTAGCAAAAGAAAACAGGAAAATACAAATGGAGAATCACATTAAATGAAGGCTTGAGAAGACACTAGAAAAGGATTAAGAGTTTGCTGTGATGACAGAGCAGTGAGAAAATTTACTTCAGTGTCAGTATTCTGCCCAGACAGAGAAATGAAACAGCAACCTGTCAGGCTAGAGGAAAGGCTGCAAACGAGAAGTAGGAGAGGCACAGCAATCTGAAGTAACTGTCATGTGACGAGGATTATGCTCCCCACTAACCTGTCATCAGTGGGATCAGAGTCTGTTTCTTTCTCTACTGGGACGTTCAGTGCTTCAGCCAGCTGTGAATTACTGTCATAGACACGATAGTGGATGGGCTGCAGCTGGTGAGCGTACCACTTCGGTTTGTCACCAATTAGTGCTGGGTCAAACATGTCTGCACAACAAAACAATGAGAGAGGTAACTGAACTCATTTATTGCTGTCTGAGCCTTCATTCACGGTGAGGCTATCCTCTACTAAGTCTTGCACAAAGGAAGGGACAGTCCCTACTCTAAGAAGCCTACAAGACTTCTCTGTAATCAAACAAGACAAGGTAAAATTAATTGGAGGAGCAAGTGGTTAATAGCAGTGCTAACTTGGTAGAATGAATGAGGACATATGTAAAAAACAGGAAAATGTCCCTTGAACTGGATTTCCCTCCCCAGTAGGAATAATATAGTGTAAAACTAAGTCTACCCCTAGAATCTCTCTCCTTTTTAAAGTTCCAGCATTACATCCAAGTGCAGGAAAGGCAAGACCAAAACTTACTGTTATGAATTCTTTGGAAAGCATAGTTAGTAGGGTTGAGTGACCATTCTCCAAAGTATTCTACTGCCTGTGTCCTGGAAAGCTTATCAGCAAAAGGTGTTTGCTTTGGCCTAGAGGCAAGAAAAGAATTTGCCTGGAAGGCCACTACTGGTCGTGGGAAGAGACGGAGAGTGCGAGTATGCATCTGGAAACCTTGCAAAACATTTGGAGAGTTGAAGAATCTCACCATAGCAACCCTAAAAAGAAACAGAGAACAATATACCAGATAAAAACACAGAACACAACAGAAAAGAAGACAGAGAGCCTTTAAAAGGTATGCAGTAGGCAATGTTTCAAACCTTTGAAGAATGGTAACCCAGTACGAAAAACTAAGACTTAGAAAACAGTTGTCTTTAAGGAAAAACAAACAAACAAAAAAAACCCAACCCAAGAAATCACTTTGTTTTAATTCACCACTTCGACACCAAGACCCACCCAATGAGGGACATCATTCTCATATCCACTAGCTGGGTGACAACTAAGTCTGCAGGTTTTTTTGTAGTTCAAAGCTTGTGATCTAAGCTGAGGATACAATATCAAACCGAGAAGTCTTGGTAAGGCGGATGATCTATAGGAAAATGCAAGAAACAAAACACTCCCTGAAGATACATTGTTATGTTCATGAAATTAATAGATCTAAGATAAAACACTGTCATTTCTGCTCTTTTTTTCCAGTGATGTAAAGTAGAACCTGCAGCAGAACCTGGAAGATGGTGCTTCCGCCACTGGACCTGCAGAACTGTCTGTGCTGCCTTCAACTGCAAACTTTATGAAGATTCAACACTACCTTCCTGTTCAGCCTCACCTGGTAGCCACATCCACAGAGTCCACATCGTTGCCATAGATCAGAGGGTTGAATTCTGTGGAGGGAGTAGACTGCAAATCATTCTGTGGTCTTCCCAGTAGCAGTGGCACCTCCTGCCCCTCGTGGAACTTCTCTAGATTAAGAATGGGCTGAGTATTCAGACTCATGCTGGCCAGTGCCTAACAAAGGACAACATTATGCATGCATTCAGCAAGAAAAGTTATTCAAGGAACAAGAGAGAGATCAGAGCTACCCTGCCCTCTAGGCAACTGCAACAATTGTGCATGCTCCATTATTTTGTCTTAAACTATCTCCTACGCTGAGTCAACAAATATCTCCAGGCCCTCCTTTATGTGAATTGTCAAAATGATCTCCTCAATCCTGAAACAGTCCTGGAGCCAGACAAGGGGTAGCACAGAAGTCCAGTTTGCTAGATCATTCATGACATGAAAACAGATAGTCCAAATTGGATCACAAGTAATATGGCACTGTGTACAACTTATAGAGTTATTCCCATGTGTAATTTGAATACATCTGGGGACCTAGACGCCTTGAAAATTGTCTTGCAACTTGGCCATTCAACCAGTGAGTTTTGATATCCCAGGCCAATGTGAAGACACCTTTACAGAGACATCTGCCTGTATCCCTGCAAACCACTTCCCGTCTGAATGAGGTCTTCATCTCTCCATAAAGCTACCATCCTCTTCAACCCTCATAACATCTTCATGGATATGCACTGGAGCAGCACAAGTGGTAAAACAGTCCTGGACACCCAGACCTATCCTAAATCTTCCTCATTTCTCCCATTTGCCCACTGAGTCTTCATCTTTTTATTTCAAAAAGAAATAAATATATAAAACAAAACAAAAACCAAAACTCCAAAGGAAAAGGCTAAAATGGAAAATTGAGGGGAAAAGAATAAAATAAAGAACCTTTTTGTCAGGAGTGAGCAGCTGTTTCTGAGTGATTGCAGTCATGCTAACCAGACACTGGAGGCAAGATGGAAGATCATATGATAACACCAGCAGCCCATCAGAGCCAAGACGAACACATGACCACAGAGAAAAAGATGGAAGGAAAAAAAAAAATCTATTACTACCAAATATCACAAATGAGAGGAAATAAAAGGGACCACAAAATAAGCACATCTTGGGAGCGAGGTCTAACTGCCCCACCCCCAAACATTCACATCTGGCCACTTTGGAAAGTGGAAGCTGCTGTCCTTATTGATGCAGCTAAGAGCCTTCTACTGCAGTTTAAAAGCAGATATCCTGAATTTCATTCATTGACACTAAGACCCAAAGGCACACAAAAGTGTCAACCTTAGTGATGTGGGCCACAATTTAGTCTTCTCTACTTTGTACAGCAACCAGTAGTTTTGCCAATGGTCAACTATTAATGATAATGCCTATAGGAATACATAATGATGTCACCTGAATTTGGGTAAACACTCTGAGAATTTTAAATATGTCTTCAAGTAAATTGCAATTTGTTCTTCCACTATCCAACTTTGCCTTGCTGAATAGTGCCTGAAATTGCAAGGGGGTGAGGCAGAAGTGGGGGGAAGGTGGATCTAAGGAAACTCCAAGCCACACATCGCTTCCATCTGTGCTGACAGCAGGTACGGGGGTATCACAGAGGTTACACACTTTGCTCTCCTGGGCTAAGAGGAGAGAGAAAGAGCAGAACTCATCACATTAGTAGCACACTTTACCTTTAGATACTGCATGCAGCGTGCATAAAGAAAACAGAAATAAAGAGATAAAACCTGCTTGACACGATCAGCCAGGATGACCCAAGCTGATTAATGGCTTAGCAGGACCTGAGAGGAGAGACTGAGATCTCACACACAGATCTGTGAATGGAGGGGAAACAAAGATGATCACAGCTTGATGGATCAAGTCAGAGTTTAAAGCCCACATGGCAAATGTAAAGGAGGAATCTAGAACTTACTGCACCAACTGGAAACAAGTTAGCCCCAAACAACATTAAAAACCAGAAACCGTCTGCTGTGTCCAGGAACATTTCAAATTATCCCTCACCTGGCTAAGAAATTAACTGCAGTTATAAGCCTCAGTGACCACTCACTTTTCCAAATTAACACTCTCCATTAAGATAGAAAAGCCGCAACTGGATAACTACCACTTAATATCTGTATCAATTGATACTGCTTTTAAAGCGCAAAATGCTGTTGTATTCTAACGTGGCAGGTGTTCTAACTGGCCAACTATAGGGAACAGGTGCCTTAAACAGGTTGAGAGAAAATTCCTAATTCTGTGCTTCCCCGACAAATGACAAAGGTGGAAGCAGCAGATACAGCAAAAGATGAAACAGGTAACAAAAATTACAATTAAGTCCTCTGGAGGAATTCGAAACAAGATTAAGCTGAAAAGATGACACCCCTATAACATTGTTTAATCAGCCACCCTACTGATTAGCCCACCTCCACATTCCAAAAAGCAGACCTCTCCATGAGTGACCAAGGGGCACTTTCTTGAACAAGAGTATTCTAAGTAGTCTGATGCGTTTTCACATCCATCTGATGTGCCAGGATACACACCTGCTTTTAACACATTTTGCTTTACATTTGCTGACTTGCATTCTTGTCCAGTATAGCAGAAGAGCTGCGCAAGAATACATCTGCCAAGTTCTACTGAATACAAGTCCTTTTCCCAAAGTGCTTATTACCTGTTTCAGATGCTTTTTCAGCTCTGAAGCTTCTGGTTCTGGCAGTGCTGGCAAAGATTCTGCATTTGTGGGAACAATCACCTGGAATTAAGCACAGCAAAAGACTAAAAATTCCCCAGCTGTAGTCATTCCCAAAACAGAATCTCCTGAATAACCACTACTCCAGAGGTCAAGGAATAAAAGCCATAAAGTAAAATAACTAATTTTAAAAACCCCACACCACCACCCCCACACACAGACACCTGCATAAATACTTTGATTTTCACTACTTTATGGCTGTTATTGTTCACAATATCACAAACAATGGAGCAGTGACTTTATCATTTACCACAAAAAAAAGAGAAGTTTAAATGGACCCACACTCATCCTTTGGAATTTCCATCAAGTAGAAGGTATTACAGACATTTCCCTTCACATAGCCTTGCTCAGGCCCCAGTAGAAAGCAGGATACGTAGTCCCATTTGAATCATGACAACCAACGTGGCTGGAAGGCTCTTATCAGATTGTGTTTCTTAGGTAGGGCTATCAGAGACAGGGTCACAATTACTCAAGAAGACAGTTGTATCATTTGTTTGGGGATTTATCTTCTAATGATATAGCCAGGTGGATTAACTGTAAAAGAATGCTTTATGAGCAAAAGAAATGGGGACCTTGAGAAACAGCAAGGAACTGAATCCTAAAGTTTAAGACGGGAGTGGCAAAGGCAGACTGAGGCCAGGCATTCTTAAATTCTCAGTGGGTACATTGATGAAAGTGCACTGTTCCCTGTAAACAAAGCCACAAGTCCTTATGGGCACCACTTACCCTATTGGTATCCAGGTCAATAAGCCATACATCATCAGGCATTTTAAAATCCAGTTTGTAAAGGAAGAAACTTGCTGGAACACCAATGATATAAGGTGTAGGGGCTAGAAGCAACTGAGAGAAAGACAGACTTTAATAAGGATAAGATCTGCATTTGATAACACCATGTTCTTCCCAAATAATTATTTATTAACTACAGTATGTTTACAACAGAAGAGACAACACATAAAGCATTGATAATGAAGTAATTAATCCCATACAATAGAAACATTAAAAAAAAAAAAAAAAGAAGAAAAGCTCCTGCTTAGAGACCTTCAATTTTCATCTAGAAAAAAAAAAATTTCCACCTCCTGTGCTGTGTCCTCCTCATCCCCCCAGAAGTAATTTATATGGCTGCATGGCTCTTTGGAAAAAACTTAGCTAATCTAGCAGCTTGCCACATCTATCATGGACCAAGAAAAAAGATGTTCAGAGTAAGAGCCTGACTAGAGAAGAAGCAAGTCACAGATGAATACACCGTCAGCTCAAACTGAGTCTGTGCCATTGTAAATATGGCTTTATCCTTGCAAGGGCTTTACCCTTACCCTTGTAACAGTAATTTAGTTTCAAAACAATAACATCTCTAGGAAGCAGAAGAAATAGACACTTTTTTTTCAAATGTATATGGAAAACCTAAGGGGAAATTCAGGTTGTTTCTGATAAAGGAATCAGCAGAGGGAAAAGGTTTAGATCAGTAAGGCAAGTAGCAGCTTGAGACCAGTGGCTTGGGAGGCTAATTTATTCTTTAAATCTAGAACAGTTGGTCATCTCCAAGGGTACAAGAACAAACCTGCAGCATCAGTTGCAGGATAGCACTGAAGCAGTAAGATGGCCTGAATTCTGTCTTGCCAAGCAAAATAATGAGCTCCTGCAGAGAGATGACTATTGGTAAGGCTCCCAGCTGAAGTAACTCAACAATTCATATTTCTGAGGGGAATAAATTGCAGTCAATAGTTTCTAAACTCTGCATCAAGAGCCCTCAAGCATCCTTAAATATGATTCTGAACTGTCTCTAACAAACCTTAATATTCAGTTAGCGGCAGGGGAGGTAAATACTCATCATAAGATTGTGGATCTATGGCCTTTTAGTCCATTGCTTGTGAACTACTGTGAGCTACTGCTTTGAGTTATACTATTCACTAAGCATGCTTTGAAGATACCCTAAATAAGTGGTGTTACCTACAATTTAAATAGTTGCTGGTCCTCAAAGAACATTCTTTGCAAGGCAAACTTTGCTACAATCCCTGAGAAAACAGCAGGGAAGGAAACAAGGATTACTCCTATATAAGTTCCAGACATCATAGAAACATCCTTTGCAAAATACCAATAAAGGAAAAATATGTACCTGTTCTGCAGAGGCCATGCAAGTGGGAAGCAGAGGAATTACTGGGAACATGTACTCTAATGGGTAGATCATAGCCACAAAGGCCATCACAGACATTGAGAGCGCATTATAATCTCGGGACTGCAATACAACCTGAAACCAAAGAAACTCACATTAGCACTGCAGCAACCATTCACTTCTATTTCTCCCCCCAGGGGTATACAAAGATGTCAGCCTGCAGGCCTCTGATTTGATGGCTGTGAACTGGATGACCCTCCATTAATCTGTCTGAAAAGAAGCTTCAGGTGCTTTTTTGAATGAGAGTAAAACTTTTCAGAACAGGAACCTCAGAAGGAGCTATTCCTCCCCCCCTGCAGACAAATTGATTCCAGGCAGTGCAGGAGACAGCTGTTCCACACATCCAGCCTACCCTGGTTTTGAAGAGGGCAGGACTTCCCACGTACCTATCAAAGATTAACTCTTCCCTTCTTACCTTGTGTTCCAGAAGGATGCAGGTCAGCACCTGCAGGCAGGCATCCACTCCCAGCAACTCCAAAGGCAGATGTAATGGAAAATCCACCAATGTGAAGCGGGATGGATCAGGAAGAGCAAAGGTCAGAGCCGGCTGCAACTCATGTGGCAAGACTTCCACATCCACCCGCTTCTGACCAGCAACAGGCATTGGTGAACGGAGCAGCCGGTATATCCAGGCCTCAATCTCCCGCAAGTCGTGTAGCAACGCGCTAGACTTTTCTTCCACCAGGAGGGAGCCTGTGAAAATCCGCCACATTGTATCCCTGTACAGGGAGAACAACAAGGTTAATACTCCAAGAGCTTCACTTGACAGCCATTCCGCAAGGCTCTTCCACCAGGAATTAAAAGATGCAGCTAACAAACATTTGGGCAGAAAGTAATGGCAGGTAGGGATTTAAGCTTACTGAAACAACCACTGTGGGGAAGAATAAATCTCTCTGTGGCAGGAATCAACACAAGTATGTCACTTCCACCTCAGAGTTCATTCATTCCTTTAAAAGGTTCCGTTAGGTCCAGATCTCTGAAGATCTCTCATCGCTCTGGTGGTTGAAATCCAGCATGCATGTAGGATACTCTCCTATCTCCTCCAGAATTGTGGCAGACTAATTGACTGTCGGATTCTGCTTGCAGCAGTCCTACAGACCTTCACAAGAATAGGAACTGCTCCTGAGATAACAAAAATATGCCACAGCAAGATCTCCCAGATTGTTTCAGCTTGATAAAATACTCTTTTTCATTCTATCCTAAATTGCATTGTATCATTCTTAAGAGCTGAATAACCCATGGCAGAAGTGGATGCATTTCAGCTGAGAGTATTAATTTCTGAAAGCTGTCTAGAAAGGATTTAGGTACCTTAACAAAATAAGCAAGCAGCAATTTTTCCATGCCCTAAGCTAGCAATCTGCAAACTTGTAGCTCACAGGCGGGCTGGCCAAAACGCACATACAGCATTGTTCAGGGCCTTCAGAGCTTCAAAACTTGAAACTGGGTCTGACAAGGGAAACAAAATTGCTTGTCCACTTCAGCCCTTAATGTTGTAGCACAGTGAAGGCTGCAAACCTGCTGTAGCCATTCTTCAAAAAACTTCAGCCTGATAAATATCTTCAGTTACTGTGATAGATCCCTTAGAATGGTATGGGTTCAAGTTAGAGGTTCTACCTAGTTCACAACTTTAAAAAAAATTAAAGAAAAAGAAAAAATATGATGACATTGGAGACTTCAGGAAGGAAGAAGAGTTAGACAAATATGGAGAGGTCAGAACGGCAATTTGAGATTATGCTGAGTAAGTGATACACCTGTGAGGAACCATGATGCTTCTCATGCTCTATTCTTCCTTCAGCTTCTTGTAATGGGCAGGACGTTAGGTTGTTAACAGGCAGACCCAACGTTTTGCAAGCTGTAAGGATTCAGTTTCACCTTTATTCTGCCACCACCTCAAAACTATTCTACTTGTCCAGGTCATGGCTTGCAAACCACATGGTAATTCAAACCTGCTGCTTTACTCTTCCCAGAGATGCATGCTCAGCGTTCCTTCTCTTGCCCTCCTCATCTGTCACTCAGTTCTTCTCTTTAAGAGTTATGTCCAACAAGAGCAAATTTTTCAAATACCACGTCATTCAAACACTGGAATAATTTAGCAACCCTTTCAAAAATCAGATGAGCTCACAGAGTTGAGGAAAATAATGAAATTTAGCTTTTTTTCTGCCTCAGTAATTATCAGACTAAACCAAATGACAAAACAAGCTCCCTTAATATATACTTCTATTGGGTGGGAGAGGGGGAGTTTTGTTCTGACAGAATTATTTTTTCCCCAACAGTCAGTGGATTCAGGTGATAAATCTGCTAATGCAGGAGTCAGTCATAAGCCCAGGACATTCTCCCAGAACTATTCCAAGGCAGTAACCCAAGAAATAGGCTATTGGTCTGTGAACGGGACAGATTTCCCCTTTCATGCAAAATTAAAAGAGCTTATAAAGATGAGAATGATAGATGCTCTGTCATTTTTTGCTTTTGACAAGTTAAACTTGGAAAGTACCAAGCTACTTCACCAAAATCATGAGCTATCTCACAATCCCCGTCCCTCTTACTATTGAGATAACGCCCTCCTTCTCCAGAGATTCATTTTGTGTTTCCTCTTTTCACTTAGCATATTGGAAAGGAAAATATCATCCTGGAATGTGGGTGTCAGACACAATAGCACAGATACACATCCATGACTGATATACGTAAATACATCCTTCCTTCTGTACCCTACGGTGCAACAGCTTTTGTTACATACCCAACATTATAATAGCAGATATGTAAGATTACTACATTATATTAAAAATACACCAAGTTCCTGTTAATTTGCTGTTACCAACCCCCATTCCAATATGCTTCCTAGACAGCTCCTTTGTTTCCTCCCTCTCCCCTTCAGATATCATACTTTGATCTCTTTCAGCCGTTCCTGCTTCTCTAGTCTTTTCTCTCCCACACTGAAGTTCAGATTGTTTCATAAGCTCGTTAAGCACACTTTCATCATTTCCCTCTTGCCCCAATTGGAAATTGTCTCTGTTATTTCTTGGCTGTTTCTAATTTGCCAGAGAATCAGTCCTGACGTACACTGCCACGAAGCTTATATGCCAAAGCAACAATAACAGCTCAGTGCTCAGCTTCAGAAAAGATCACGCTCAGTCAGTTCTTAGCAGGATAGTGCCTCCTTAGGCATATCAAAAATGAAAATCATACCAGGTTACAGAATGAGACAGAGGCGTTTTAAGGAAATAACCACAAAAATTTCCTTTTCCTACCATGATCCTGGATTAAAACAGCAAAAAGGTCAACCATAGGTGTAGGGCTGCTTCTTGCAACCACACCTGTAGCCACAATTTGCCACACAGACAATTGCAGCCCTGGACATAAACAGTAGGAAGAAAAAAATTCTTTCTTCCCACTCAACATACCTCTGCACCCCACGAGGGATCCCCAATTTCTTGCCCAACAATCTTTCGCTACAGCAGTCCACAAGCCTCTTGAGGGTGTACAGACATTCACGAAAGGTGGAAAAGAAGGGATAATGACTAAGGATGCACAGAGAAGTCAGAGTGCTGTTCCGAGAGCGATGGCTGCCTTTGGCCAGACGCTTACTGTGCGGTGATCGATTCACATCTGGGGTAGATTCTGTACTTGGAGCCTGCAGTGAAGAACCACTCTCTGAACTCTCGGTGGCAACTTCCTCTTGGGGTGCAGATGGATCTGCAGATTTGGGGATTTTCTGTCCCTCCCGAGCTCGATGGCCCCCTGTGCCTTCTCCCTTCTCCTTGGGTACTCGCTTCTGAAAGGAGCGGTAGAAGTTGACACAGATTCCATAGCGAATGACACCTGTATCCTTGTCTGTGAGAGTGAAGACAAAGGAAGTGTCATCACGGAAGCTCATACGTTTTTGCCTCACGCTCAGGCATCCTTCTGGCTGGCAGAAGAATACAACATCAGGTGGTAGAGGAAAGTCCACGTGGTCTTCTAGAGGGTAACGTCGCAGCAGTTCAGGAGTCTGAGCAACACTATCACTACTTGGCTGCCTACAAAAAAAAAGCAAACAAAAAAATCATACACAGTTGACTAATGCCAATAAAGATCTTTGGTATCTCCCTACTAACACGCCAGGAGCCTGTGGGCTCAGCTTCAACTTTTGTTTCTTCTCTCCCCTACTATACAGGGAAATTGCAGCTTCTCAGTCACTAGCCGCAATGCTCAACCACTAGCATAAGGCCACAACTGCAGAAAGGTTAAATAAAAAAGTCTCTATCATTGTTATCAAGGCCCAACAAGGAGCCTGTTCAAATTTGACCAAGAAAAGGACTTCTTCAGGAGTATGTTGCTCCCAGGAGAACATCATATTGTCATGTTTCTCTGACTTTGGTTTCCAAAATTAATTTAACTGCACACGTCTCTGGGCAACACTTGGATAGGAAATACACTGTCCCTCTCCAAATATAGTCAGATGAAAATCCCCTGGATTTCAGCCATTTATAAGTAAGATGAAAAATTAAATTATAAAATCTAGTATCAATTCCTAACTGGGAAACCCAAGAATTTACTAGGAAAGAACTCAGACAAATGGTGGAATGATATGGACCTCATTCTGTAAAATTTTAATTAAAAATTTCTAGCAACCATAGATACATACTTTTTTCTGTGTTTGATTTTCAAGTTGGATTTGAAGCCTAAGTTACTATAAAAGCTGGGTAGTAACATACAGACCTATTTAACGATGTGGCTCACCAACCTCTGTACCACAAATCACTAATGGAACACAAAGACAGAAAGGCAATACTGTTTATTCCTAATTTTCCACCAGCAGAACAGTCTTTAAAGGTATTAAGTATTTTCCTACCACTACTTTTCCATGAAAGTTACTGAATAACTGCCAGAGAAATAGTACGAGATCCACATAGCTGAAGGAAGAAAACTATATCCCCAGAACAACCTCTCTCTGGTTTGACCCCTTTGCTATAAAGTCTGATCTTCACCATTTTCTAAAGTAATTAACATTTAGTATTGTGTTTACTAAATGGAATGTAGGAGACCTGGCTCCACCATCACTCTCCTATGAGACCTCATACAACATATTTTCTCACCTTGATACTTTAGATTTGCCCATTTAAAAATACAAATGACACTTGCTTTTCTCTTATCTGAGAGGTGAGAAAACCCAAACAAGTTATAACAGAATGTTTGTAATTTACAAAAGAAAATCACTGGTGTAAATAGCTCTGCTGACTAATTCTCCCAAGTCAATACTTTATTAATGTAAAAATGCTTAGGTAATAAAGCATAAATTGGTAACAAAATTTATACTGCCTGTGCAGTTAAGTACTGAAATACTGTATGAAAAGAAAAAGGAAACCCTAAAAAGCTTTTATATATTAGTGGACACAACTAATGCATCATCTGCTGAAGAAATGTCAAATAATGCTGGTACTGATTAAAGAGTCTGTTTGGCAGTAAAAGGTTAAAAAAAGTGCCATCGACAAAATACTGGTGAATATAACATCAGGTCATGCCTGTGCAGTAATATTAGCTACAAAAACAGTCGTCTTGGACATTTAGAAAATTTGCATCTAATAAAAGGGAATACTTCCAAAAGGCATTGCTATTTGTGCATGGTGGATAACAAGATATAATGGTAAAGACCACATGGAGCTCCTAAGGACTTTGCCGTAGAAGCTACTTCAGTCAGCTCCAACTCTTATCAACAGGCATTTGTTGAAGTGCCTAATGAGAAAACAGACCTCTGAGCATTAGCGATCTAGCTACTACTGCCCAGCAAAAAGCAAGAGAACTGCAGGAGTCCAGAAGCGATGCTAGCAAATTTCTAAGTGAGAATATCAGATGCTACAAGCATCACTGGAGGAGGCCGTTAACATTGCGTCCTCCTTCTTTTCGTAGTCAGTGACACATATATGGAAAACTTAGTTATTTTTCCACAGACAATAAGAAGTAATTAAACTATTAAATTATTCTGTCCATAAAATACAACAATAAAAATAATTATTATTTAGGATTACGTCAATTACTCCACTTAGCCTATTTAAATATTGCACTCCAAGTATTCTGAAAAGAAAGTGGGAGGTAAAGCGACAGGCTGATGCACATAAACCACTAATATTTAGAAATGAAAGTAAAACAGACTCTGGAATACACCCATTAAATAGACTAGCAGAAAGTTACTGCATGAACTTCAAATAAAGAAAAATATCATTTACTGAGCACTTGTGTATTTGACAAACAGTACACATATCAACACCACATCTCATATATGCTTTAAGTAAATAAGCATAGTTAGTTAATAAGACTTTAAATAAGCATTGATAGTTAATAAGACTTTAAAAAAAGAAAGCATTCATATCATTCTTACAAAGATAAATGAGTATTAGAGGGAGAAACAGCCAAGTAAGGCAAGTTCCAGATTACTTTTTTTTAAACTGAGTTTACAGACTACAGTTCAAAAGCTAGAAAAGTAACCCCAAACTAGTATTTTACTTGCATGTGGCTTTCAGTATTTTCAGTTTGTGAATCCCTCTACCCTAATGCCAATAGAAGCAAAGAACTTCAGATACACAGGTTACCAGAGAGTCATATATAAATTGGCTTTTCTTAAGTCACCCTTTACAGACCCTTGAAAAGGAGTCTAAAGATTGCAAGTTAAAAAAACTTTGGCTGCACCAGTATCTTTCAAAAAGTGCCCTGGCCCAAGTAGATGCTCCCATCATGGTAGCATTCGGCATGTATTCCAGAAAGCACTTTCCTCAGCACCAAGCAAGGCTCCATCAATGGATGCTAGGCTATTTATCCCCCCTCTACTGAGACGCGTTTACATTACCTGGCTCCAATGATCACAAGATAGTCGAGTAACCGAGGACAGATTTTCTTTTTCTGCACCATTGTCCTTGACACCCCTCCCTATGTCATCTCAGTGAATTTCTGTTCATCAATGCAGTATTCAGTTATCCAGTCAGCTGTGATAGACTGCCTTGGGGAACAGAATCTGCTTGGAAATGTCTGGCAAGTCCAACCTACAATCAAGAAAAGCAAGAGTGTCAGAGGCACAATCAGGAATACCAAAAGCATATAAGCAATTTCGTGACCTTAATTACAGCCTCAGTGTTCTGTGCAGTCATGGCTGTCCACAGATCTCTCTCTTCATGAATATAAAACCATAACCACATGCCCACAAAAGCAGAGCACACTGAAAAACACACAAAAAAGCACAAGAGGATCTCAAGAAAGGCCACAGACAAAGAAGCATATCGCTGGCAAAGAGCTATTCATGAAACAGTTTGAGGCAAAAGTATTGTTTAGGCAAATCCCTGGGATTCTTACAGCGCTTGGGAAAGGAGCTTTAATTGGCAGTTCTGTAGAGGTAAACACAAATGAAGAAAAAACCACAACCTGAACTTTAGCTGTCTGATAAACAATAACTAATGAAGGGGTAATACCAAGAGAAGTCCAATTTGATATAATGCACCTCACCCTCCCAAACCTGGATGTGGCCTAGAGCAAGAACGATCTCCACAATCCAACAACTGCAATCTCTAAGACTTTTTCTGAGAAGATATAGAACTGCAGTTTGCAATAGCAGAAGTGCTTCTTGTAAATCATACTGTTTCTTTCACTTACTTTATTAAATTCCATTTATCTTGTGTATCTTCACCATTTACTCTTGATACCCATGCCTCCTACAGCTACTTTCTCTGCCCATTTTAGAATAGAAAAATCCTCCTGGCACAACTGGTATTTTACTACAGCATTACTATTTGTCAGTAACTATGCTTAATAGAATCCAGAATTCTGTAAGCACTGTAAAAATTGTTCTTTCCAATCCCACCATTCATACTTCATTGAATTCATGAAAGAAAGGGGGAAAAAAAAATAATCTTAAAAAGTAATCAAGTTCCATATTACAATGTTCCCTACCTACATTTGAAAACAATCTAAAAACAGAAGATTTTCTGAAGCAGAAGGTTTTCAGAAACTCTAAAATCAGAGATGCTCAAACTGTACTACAAGTTTACTGAGCATCCTAATGAAAGCATCAATAAAGTTATTTTATATTAAAAAATTGAACTGATTGCCTTTTGGGGCATATTCAGAGTAAGGTTTCTATTTCAGCTCATGTTTACATCCTAAGGCTATCACAGAATTCAGAGCATTATTATTACTGTGCTAAAGTCTTTCAGTTCTGCAGCATAAAGTTCAGATTTTATTTGTATAAAAGTGTAACAGTTTTACTAACAACCTGTAAATCTCAGCAAAATTAGGTAATTTTCCTGTCGTTTCTCTCATTATTTCACAACCAAAAGCTAGTTAAAGGTACTGTAACTGTCACAAGCACATTCAAAGCCTAGCAACATATTTGCTTTTTTCCCCAGCCCTTCAACATTCCAGGTACAGAGTTGGGGAATTTTATTCATTAGCCCTCCAAATACCAGTAAGAACACAAACACACAAAAAAAGTAGGTACACAATTTATGAAAAAAGAAAATTATACTAGTCAGTAAGTATTAATTATAGAATAATAAACTGAAAGAAACCTTAACCCTCACAGGCACAAACCCCCACATTTTGTAAGACTTCATAGCATGGTTTTAGTAGATCCTCAATTACAGTCGCTGTAGGTTCCTAAGTGACAGCGCTATGACTATGACACTTCTCTGAGCAGCAATACTTTTACAAATTATCTTCTCTGAACAACAGAGAAAACACAGACACAGGAAGCAAAGCTCCTGTCTCTTCATTTTAATGGTATTACTGAAAACATTTTAGAATCTGTCCTGCAACAGCTCTTGATCCAACATATTCTGCAAATCTCTTGGCGTAGATAAATTTGACAGGAACAAGATGAAGTTGGGATGATCAAGTGGATCTTTTTGCCTTCAAGTTTGAAGAACTACTTTATCTGTTTTCTTTCCAAATAGCTTTACCCAGAACTCTTTAAGGAACTCACTCCTATGCCTGTATCTGTACCTGAACAGTGAGTTACCACAAGATAACCTAGAAGTACGACTTCGAGGAACTTCTGCTACTCAGTGGTAATGAAACAATGTTCTTCCTCTGTAACAGAGACTATCCTACCCCTCAGTGAAGGCAGAGAAAGTAAGCTGCATTTACAACGGAGTAAAAATATATGCAACGACTACAGAGTAACTGAAAGGCTACAAGAGCACAGCCCTAGCTTACCTTTCAGTAATTTGTCCGTGCCCTGTGGTTTTCCTCCTATTCTCTAGCCTGGAGAACAACTCTTATGATTCCAATTCATTACACATCTGTCCCGCAGTTCTGCAAAGGAGCTAGCAAGGTATATAACATGAAGACCTCCATCAAAGCCATAAAATTTTCAAAAGAGTATCCGAGCAGACCAGTACAAGGAACATATGCAGGACTTCCAATGTCCCTGGAATGGCTGAAGCTGCATCCTAGTGACGCCATACATCAAAGTTTCTGTCAGTTTTTTAAAAAAATATCTGAGCACTTTCCGAGATCTCTGATTTCTACTGCAACACAGGGAGACTGATGCAGATATTCTACAGGGGCTTCTAGAGTCTCCTTTACTTGCTTACTTATTCTTAACACAGCCATAGTTACAGTGACACATAAGTGGACAAAGGCTTTCTTTTGGAAGATGGAGTTTTGTTAGACTGGAGCAAGAGGTAGAAGAATTAGAACCAAGTTTAGGGGTTTTGCCTTCCCCTATGCAATTTCCTGCTTCTTCAGAGATCTAGTAATGACTGATGACAGCAATTAAAAAGCATTAGATAAATATTTTCTGGAACTCACCTTCCTACTCCTGGTTGGAATGGAACACCACCGTTCATGATCTATATAAACCAACACAAACAGGCATTGCACTCCTGCCCCTCTCCCCCACTATCTGCCAAAAGCTTGCTTTAAGGCCAGCGCCATTCCCTCCTCTGTGCTGGTAGAAGTGCTCGTGCAGTTACATGGTGAAACAGATTGTGGAATTGATACGGACTAACACTAACACCCTCCCTTCTCTTCCATTGCCACTTTTGTTTTTACTAGGTTATTTCTATGACTTAGTTCACCAAGTGGCCACACAAATGCTTATGCAGGCACAAAGAAAAGGTAGGAGCAAGCAGCTAAGGGAATCTGGAAAACTTGGTTGCATATAATATGATCACAGAACTACAGATGACAGCTTCTCTACAGGCAATAAAGAGGTAAAGTAATTTCTTTCTCAGACATTTGCCATCATCCTTCCTCTAGCTCCTAGATTTTACAGACTAAATACATTAGAACAGAAGGAGATCAAACAACCGAGAGATACTTCCATTTCTTCTCTTTCATGTTGGCATTTGGACCTGAACTGAGAGATTATCCTGAGTGTGAGATGGTACAGGTGTTGACATTGATGGCCTCTTCTTGCTCTCAAGCTGCTTTAACTCTAGGTGGCTTTTTCTGAAAAGGCCTTCTGCAGTGTGCTTTCTCTTTGCAAACAACTTGGAACCAGCCCTTTGAAGGCTGAATCCTCAAGCAGCGCTTGAGAAGAAACATCCTGTAACTTCAATGCAAAAAAAAGGAGAAAAATAAAGAAGCAAAGGCCACCACAGAAACATACTGCACAAACATATCACAGATCAGAGAACACCGTAATTTAAATAAGCACACATATGGATGGTGAACAGGTTGGTGAGAACTAACACTACCCACGTACTGTAGCAGCTGTCAGCAATACTCACAAACTAGTAGAAATTGGCACAGTAGCCTAGATGCAAAGGCAAAGGCCAGAGCCAGCACGAACCCACAGCCTACCAGTAACTCAAGACAAAAAAGGCGTTCAAAACAACACTTTGATTACTAGCACCACTCTACCTTTCAAAATTCCCCAAACACCCATATTTTAGCTTGTAGCACAGCTTTTTAGAGGACAATCTGCACGGCATTCTGCAATTTAAAGTCCTCCCAGAAATAAAAGTCTAAACAAACACACACACTCATGAAAAGCACCAGACCAGAGAACAGATCTGGTACTGTGAAAAGAACCGTCGCAGACGTTTTATCAGTTTAGAGCCATCTGTGTCAGACCGATACCCAGCATTAGTCCTCAGAAACATGAATGGGGCAGCACCCCCACTCATCTACCCCTTGGAGTCTTCAGTCTTTTTAAAAGTGTCTTTTCTTTCTAGACACAAAGCTAGAGGAACAAAGTCATTTAGTCAAAGAATAACTCGAACACAACAGTTAACCCAACTTAGCTCTCTTGCAGCCGTTTTCCTCACACAGAAGCTTCCAGCTTTGATAGGCCAGCCTTACACTCAACTGTATGATAGTCAGCAGGTATTTAAATCATTGCTTGAAAAAATGATACAAAGACAGAAGATAATTTTCCAACAGGCCTGCTTTCCTTGCAACTCTTCCACAGTTTAGGATAGTACCAGAAAGGCCTTTCCTTCCATTATCTCCCACTTTTATCTGGTACAAGGATCATACCCCACAGTTCACCAGTGCATGGATACCTTTAGAATATAAACCAGGGTCATACAATTCAATTTACCAGCTGACTGAGTGAAAAGCAAACAGTGGGACATTAATTTCTAGGAAAGAAAAAAAGGAGGAAGTCGTGAAGGAGACAGCAAGAATTACAGGACAGAAGCCACAAGAATTCTAGTTCACTGAAATCTTACCTTGCTAAAGACCAGGTTTCCAGCCATGTCCAAAAGGAACTAAATTTTCAGTTCTAAAATGTCCTTGGAACATCTTGAATTTCTATTTATTCTCAGCCAAGACAGTCTGTACTTGGTTCAGATCTATAGCCACTATGCCTGACCTTAGTGCATTGTTTACTGTGAACTCAAAATCCACAGCAATCAGACTAAACTGAAAGCTGAAACAAACACAAATAAGGGCCAGGAGTTTCAATGCCCTCTTTTTGGTTGATTTATGTTTCCTTTTCTCACATTACACACCTTGAGTACGCCGGGACAGCTATCTGCCAAGCTACGAGAAATAGGTGCAAGGACCTCAGGGCCAGCCAACCTGGCCTGTGCGGC